TTTTCGTTTACTGGGAGAAGCCAAACTTTAAGTGTTTCATTCACTTACTGTGGGTTTCATTTAACTTTAAGTTTGAACTTGAGGCTAAGCAGTCATTTGGTTCCACTGTGTTTGAGTTCATCTGGGGCCTGCTCTATGTCAACCCACAGACTTTGCAACTGTGGCAAAGGAGTGCACAGACTTCCACTTCCCCTGCCTAGAAGAGCAGCTGGAGGAGGTGCAGCAGGTGGTGCTGTACGCCAGAGCCCAGCGGAGCAGCAAGCACAAAGACCAGCCTGGTGAGACATTTCGCTCAGCCTGGAGGTCCCGAAATCTTGGGGAATAAATTTGATTATTCTTGATGCTATGGTTGGTTTTTTTAGTTTCAGCCATTCTTCAGGAAAACAAGATGTTTATCTCCTGTTTTAATAGCATAATATAACATATGAGTAAAATTCAAGCCTTTCTCAAACAAACAATAAAATAAAAGTTATAGGAGGCAAGTAAACGCGTATACTTGCCTGTACGAGTCTGGCTTTTACACGAAGCTCACACTGAAAGGCTCCTCGTGGAGCTGGGACATTTCAGTGTTATGCTAGCTGTATGAGAGCGGGATTAAGCTGTCAGGAAATAGAAGATGTTGATTTTATCACAGCACAAGTGATTTACTGAGTAGAGGTGTACACATACAGGCCCACTGGCTTCCAAGCCTGCCACAGATCCACTGCTAACACTTTTTGTCCCTTTGACATAGTGTGATGAGCATTGTTCCTGCTGATTTGTGCTTTATTCTGCAATCCTGTATCCTTACAGAGACTCAAAAGAACGGCGGTGATGATAAGAGCAAAAATGTTGAAAGAAATCCCTCGAATATCTTACCAGGTATTAAGAAAACAGTTTGTGATTATCCAGCAGATTATTTCTAGAGCATCATTTTATATTTTAACTCTGTCGGCGACATCTCTTCCTAAAGGTGAGTTCTATATCACGCGGCACTCCAACCTGTCGGAGGTCCACGCCGTCTTCCATCTGTGTGTGGATGACAACGTCCGATCAGGGAACATCACTGCCCGGGACCCAGCCATCATGGGCTTGAGAAACATCCTCAAGGTGTGCTGCACTCACGACATCACCACCGTTACCATCCCTCTGCTGCTCGTCCACGACATGTCCGAGGTAAGAAGACGCTGTCAATGCTTGCATGAGTGCAGCTGCAAGAATAAACGCTTGTAAACTGCATATTGTAATATAATAATCTTAGTGGAGCAAATGACCGTAAGGTTATTGGACCAGCAGATGTCCAGGTATTGTGCCTTCACAGAATCTGCTTTTTCCCCATAAACTGCACGAGTACACAAACTGATCAGATTTCTCCAAATAGACAAATGATCAGGAAGTACGGTACGGGGAAATGGTTGAGCTGGACAGATCCATTGTTGGGTTATTAGACGTTTCAGGGTTGCCGTGGATGTTTGATGGTTTCGTTTGGGCATTCCTGTTAGATCAACCTGAGTATTTGTACTTGTATTATTACACTGTAATAAACTCTTCAAACTGTCATACCTGTGATTGAACGTTAATGATTCAGTTGTATTAAAAAGTAGAGAATTGAAACTTTAGTGATTAATGGTGCTGAGAAACGTTTTCAAAGCGGCCGATGTTGATGGGAGGCGTTTGAGTTCAGCCGGCTGGGGCTGAAACGCTCGTTATTCGATGACTCTGGTCTTGGATTCGTGCTTTATTGCCTTCTTTCTTTTCTTGTGTTACCTGTTTGAAGCTCTACTGTCAGCTATTTGATACAGGTGCGGGGGGAAGCAATAGGGGTTTTGAGTAATCAGGATCGGTTCCCAGAAAAACTGCTATGAGTGCATTGTTAGTCAGTGATGTTGTAACAGGGTACGTCACAAACTGCGATGTTCGTCTGTGGTCTTGCACTTGCGTCAAACCCCAAAACCTGATGGCTGTGCAACTTTCCCGACTGTCAGCACCCAGACTGACTTTAAGCTTGTGCTTATTCCTGTACGGTAACGTCTGACTCGTTGGAAACGAACTGTAGATTCAGACTACAACTACAACTTTTTTTGGGTCACCAATCGTACAGAGCACATACGCACAGCGACAGTCAGTGCTCACGTTTGGGTCAATAACAGAAAAAGCCTCGACGTGAAGCGAGCGGACACTTCTAGTATTTTCCTGTGAAACTTCTTGTATTTAGTCTGTTACATTTGTTTCTTTGTTTTTAATCACATCAGATGTCCTTTGTTGGTTATTTAACTGAGTAATGTTACCAATAATAACATAATCAGTTCAACAAGCCTCTTTATAGATGCCTAATTTTTCTTCTGCTGCCTAATCAACAGTCTTTAGATTCATAAAACTAAAGTTTTGGAGCTCTGGAAGCCTCGAGAAGCAGATGATACTTAATTGAAGGCTTCTCATTTCAAAACTTTCCATCTGCCAGCTTCTTTTTCAGGCATTTCCCTTTTGAGCACAGACGTTTGCCTGCGTGTACAAGCCTATTGTAGTGTTACAACAACTGGTTTAGTTTGTCTACATGAACTACAGACCACAGTCCAAATCCAGCACGGCTGTTGCTCTTGTTCTTATTTTAGTTTTTCTTTTTCCTTTGAAGTTTGAGGAAAGAGGTTCACATAATAAATGCTCAGTGTCACTATAATATATGGTTAAAGGTTTGTGCAGATAAAACTGAAAACTGGGTTCATTTGGAGCCGCTTTGCAGACGTTGACTGTTTCACGACTGCGGTGTTCATTTTCCTGGCTGTAAGAAACACTTTTGTTCTTGCCTCAAACTGTTTGGCAAACGCCACAGTCGCCTTCAGTGCTCCTGTTTACGCTTCAGTCCTACCAAAAAGCTGAATGAATATTCAGAAATCCCTCACTAAAGCCTGTGCAGCTTATCCAAATACAAAACGTACAAGTAAACAAGAGTGTGCGTTGTGGCAAAGACTCTCTGTTACACTCCTTGCGGTGAGAACAGGTAGTTTGCAAGATGAGATCACTGTGCACAAACTGCAGCGGAGTACACTCAAAGCTGAAAGGAAATAGAAGTGTTTGATTTAGCACAAAGAACATTTTACATCAGTTTAGACATAGTTGCCTAATAAGAAGCTTTGGATTTGACACAAAGACGCATCATATAACAGGTTCTCTCTGCTCTGTAGTGTGTAGGACGGCATTCAGCTCTGTGTGGAGTAATATTGTGGAAACAGTATCTGTGTACTAATGTTCTGTGATTAACCCGTAACATCATTCACCACCAACTCGTTTGCTTTTCTTTCTCTTATCATGTTTGAACTGTAGCACAGATATAAGTAATACGAGAACGTTAAAAATGTTGCAAATTTGAAAGAAATGAAAGAAGATGTCAAAAAGTCTTTTGAAACATTGTTTCACATTACAAATTTTTCCTGTTTGGTCTGTGGAGCTCGCACGCTGCAGGTGATGGTGGTGCTACATGAAGTCTTTGAAATGAAGTCGTACGTCAGTCTGAGTTCACCGCCGTGTGTCTCATTTCACACCAACCTTCTCTGTTCATTGCAGGAGATGACCATACCGTGGTGTCTTAAAAGGGCGGAGCTCGTATTCAAATGTGTCAAAGGTAACATGGATGTTATGCATAGCTGTTGTTGGTCATTTGGTGGGTTTTTTCTTGTTTGTTCAACCGTCTGTCAAACATAAATATACAGAATCCTTAATACTGTGTTACTTTATTATGTACACAATAATTGCACTTAACATTGCATGCAGCAATGTAAGAATGAATGGTCATATTCATGCTAAATTTTCTTTGCAGGTTTTATGATGGAAATGGCCTCGTGGGACGGCGGAGTATCACGCACAGTCCAGTTTCTAGTGCCAAAGGTGAGATCAGTTATTCGGGCTTCAAAACGTGTACCTGTGGATACACTGTTCTCTGAGTGACTGCCTTCCGGCAATGCTTCATGCTTCTTTTAAAGAATTGTATACTTAAGGCCTCGCACGTACATAATGTAACAAAAGGCACACCTGGCCTTGCAGTGCATGTCTCCGAGTGCACACTACGAAGAGTTGACTGCTTGAAAAGCGTGCCATAAATCATAGATTACAGAGCTTTAGGACATTTTAGCTCCATATTTGCACTGCTGTGATAAAAGAAAGCTCAGAGACTCAATCACATAAATGTGTGATAAGCAATGGGATTAGTGTGCAGCTTGCCAACACTGAGGTGTAATCACTTTCACTTTGTTGGAAATCCAGGTCTTATGTTAATTTGTTATAAAGGAAAGGGAAAAAGATTCGGGGTTAACTTTGAAGCGAGGTTTTCTGTTATATTTTGATTTGCCGTGCAGGATGAATCACGGCCGTTACTATTTGCGAAGCTATACATGCAGAGTTTTTGCGGTTTGTCAGGAAGGCGGTGGATCCTATAGAATGAGCTCCCGCTGACAGGATAAGATGATAAAACGAGTGGCATCAAAGGACTCTGACTGTACTGGCTTCCTGTCAGCTACATGCTCAGACACCATTCAAAATATCAGCTTCTGAAACGACATTGTTGTCTGCAACTCAAAGAAATACTGTGTCTAAATATAAGCCGTGTGTTTGCGGGACTGCTTCTGCTTTAGGATTACTTAACATTCTTACTTGACGGGTGGCAGTGCTTAGTCACAGCTGCTGAGCTCACTTCATTTCAGGACGCCGCAGAGGCTGTTAATACTTGACTGGACGCCAAGAGTTCAGCTGTACTTTTGTTTTTTGAGCATCTTTCCATTATCACAGCGCGGGGAGAGAAGATGTTTCCGTGCAAACCGCCCACTAACCCTGGTCACCCCTCTGTGTGTCTCTTTGTACTGACAGACCATCTCAGAGGAAATGTTCTACCAGTTGAGCAACATGCTGCCGCAGATCTTCCGCGTCTCCTCCACCCTTACTCTCACCTCCAAGCACTGATTGGTTGCACCTCAGGTCATTCAGGCAAATGAAGACAAGTAAAGTCTTGGGTTTTTGTGTTGTTTTTATTAAACTAGGATGAATATAGAGACTTTGTGACATAGATAACTTCCATTTGTTTAAAAACAATTAAGTTATGGTGGCATTCAGTGCAAAAGAATTGATGAACTATCCTATTATTGCACCTTCCAAAGCTACTCACTCTGACTGGAAGAGGACTGGATTCACTGGCACGCTAAAACAGCTGCTGCAGTTATCATTTAGTCTCTGGGGTGTGGTTCTGGTGACAGCGTTTTATTACATTAGCTGCCAGCACTGCAGACACTTTCCTTTAAAGCTGCAGCTTTGTTCACGTTCAGCTGCTTGAAGTCGGTAAAAATGAGACAACCAAATGTGTAAAGTGGGCTGAACGGTAAAAAACTTGACTCTTCATGTTGTCATATCTTTACTTTTTTCTTTTTACAGTATGTTGATTATTGCAGGAAAAAATCACCAATCTGGGCTCAAACTTGAATGCTAGTTTTGATGTTGTCATATTTAATTCTTAAAGAATTTCTTGTGGTGACAGACGATCTTACAGTTCAGCCATCGAGTGAGATTTAGCAGCATGATGTCGTGGTGCTCTGGCTTCAGTGACATGGACTTGGCTCTTTTAGTCCTAGTGACAAATTGCATTGCTGCTCATATGAGCGGTGTGCTTGTGATTTTGTACTGCATTGCAGACAGTTGAGGCGACTGCCGCTAACTCTCTGTGGGAGTGTGAATGTGTACGGTCCCCCTCCCCCCTCACCTGCGTAACAGTAGATGGCACTGTTCCTAAAGACAAAAATGTGAAAAAGAGTAACTGTACTTGAACGCTTTGCTTATCGGAGGAAACGTTTTGCCTATTGAAATTCATCTCAATCTATTCTAAGTGAGGGAAACGGCACTGAAAGTACAGCTCGGTTGCATTTTATGTTAAACACTTAGATGTGCACTCTGTATATTTACTTTATGTGTGTACATTTTTTTATGTTTTAATAAAGTAACACTCTACACTGATGTGGTGTATTCCTCATAAGCTTCTGACAGACTTCAGCACTGGAGGATTAGTTTTTCTGTGCCCCCACCCGTCTGCCAGAACCGATGCACTTCTAGTGAGTTCGTCTCCAGGCTGTATTTACTCTTGATTGGTTATCCACGGGGACCTAATCTCCCTAAAGTTAATAATCCATGTCATTCATTGGAATTACATTCCTTCACGTCTAATGGTTGGCCTACAAGCCATTTCAGACAGATAATCAATTTAGTTTCTCACAAAGTTTGCCACTGCGGCATTCAGTGGTGGCATTAGGCTGATTAAAAGAGTTGACAGTGTAGCAATCAGCTGTGCCCAGAGAGAGTTATGAGATTTTTGAATGGCGCCGTGTTGAAACTTGCAACTGTTTTTATCATGCAGCCAGGCTGAGAAGCCACAAAGCTGTAAGAATATGTAATGCAAAGTGTTCAGCATTCTCAGGATTGGTCTTGGAGGCTTTGATTGTGCACAAGCTTAAAATGCATAAAAATGTACACACACAAGCAACAAGCAACTCTGTGTGTGTGTGTGTGTGTGTGTGTGTGTGTGTGTGTGTGTGTGTGTGTGTGTGTGGATTAACACTGCTGCCTGACAGAATAGGAATCACTATCACTATCAAACTGCTGAAGGTACTTTTGCATACATTCAGTAAGCAAATAAAATGTATTTTCAAATACAACGTTGCCCAAATTGCTGTACAAAGTGTGTGTACAGTCACGCAAACATGTAATTACATGCATAAAAATGCATCATTATTTGATGCGATAACAATCAGAAATATTATTTTACACTGGTATTACCGGTGATTGGTAATGGGTGATGTAATATACAATCCTCTGCAAAAGTAAAAAGTCAACTGAAGGTGTAAATTACATAAATATCACTTACTGTACTACACCCTTTATCTTACGGTCAATTCTTAGTCATACTGTGTATGTGACAGAATTTGAATTTAAAGGGTAAGTCAGCTGTTACACGCAGCTATTATAGCACGGCGTCTCCACAGTTGGTTGGAAATGGCAAAATTAAATACAATTTATATACAGAAAATTTTAATGATATGAAAATGCTAACAGACAAATGCTGAACATGAAAACGGGCAAACCCGAGAGCGCCAGTAGAAAAATCATACGTCACAGGTGCTGCTACCGGAAGATGCTTTTTTTTTTTGCTTAAAAAAATAAAAACGTGAATATCTCTTGTGAAACGCTTTAAAAATAACAGCAAAGAATGTATTTGTTATTTTAGGTCTTTGATTAAATAAAATAAACGAAATCTTTTTGTGTGGCGTTTTTGTTTTATAAATTGTCATTAACGTGTTCTTCTAGTTTTTGCTACATTTATTTCGAAGTTCCAAACCGGAAGTTACCGCTGTCGCTGCCACTGGCTTGACGGAGGTTGTCACAGCTGGGTAGTTGGCTCGCTACAAGTTAAGCAACAGGGGCTGTCGGGAGCGAGCAAGTTGCTGCATGGATTTCTCGGAGCTCCGCGGAACTTACGGTTAAGTTTGCACCCAAACGAGCTGTTAGCGCGATTCTGTCTGTGTTCAGTAAGGCTTTCGTGTGTGATACACATCTATCACATGTCGGCTGCTCTACGTGCTGAAACTTATTCATTGTATGTGGCTGCCTTGCAACGTTGTTCGCCGCGTCGAAACTGCAGACAGCGGCTTTAAAATTTGACCCAAGCGTCCCCGAGTCGTACCACGCCGGACACCGTGATACAGCTGACCTGAAAACGGAGGTAGGTGTGAGGCGGTGTGTGCTTGAGCCTGCGGCTAAAAGGTGTGCGGTTAGCCAGGCTTCAGCAGCGTGGTGCTGTCTGGAAGTTTTTTCCACTCTGCGTCGCAGACTGCCGCTTTGCCTGGATGCCGTGCCAAGTGCCGTGGTGGCAGTAACTTTACTCTCTCCCCGTGTCTACACCAAAACCTTCGCCGTAAACGTTTGGCGCTGTGTTGACGAGACCCCGCTGGTTTGACACATGGATGGATGGGGGAGGAGGCGTTTGAGGACACCGCCGTGTGGAAAGTTACGAAGTATTCCAGCTGGATGTGGCATTGGCTGGTAACGTTCAAAAGAATGACTCCTGGGCTTTGGTTTTGTTCTCGTTACTCCTTTTTGAATGTCTCGTGTGTGTGCGCGCGCTACAGAGTGAGGTCATGGACCGTAAAGGCACTCTAAAAGCTGCCCTATCATATTAAGACATGTCTTGTATGGACAAGTGTTCTCAGCCTGAAACAGATGGGATTTTCCACAGCTTGTTGATGGTGACTCTCAGGAACTAGACGTGTGTGCTTTGATTTATCAGCTGTTTAGGATAAAAACAAAAGGCTGAAAGCCTCACGAGCTTTCGTCTTTAGTATCCTGTTTTTCAGCCATCATTGGATTTTGATTCCTCTACTTTTTGTTTTTTTTTTTGTTTGAACAATGTTATCACATTTTTACAGCCCGCTAATAGTAATTTCTCTATCTAAGGAATGTAGCACCAGGAAATTAAGCAACACTTGATACCAAGTAAACTTCTTTGGTGCTGAAAGTTTCCACTCATGTTTTTGGGAGGTTGTGTGAGTCTGGTTTCTTGGAGAAAATTCAAGGTTCGGAAACCACATGAGGATGGCAGAGGATCAGAAGGTTAAAGCGCTCTAACCCATGACCGTGACTCTGCCGTCACACAAAGACCTCTTTCCGCTTCTTCGTGGGCGCGTTAGGTGTGGTAGTCACTCTGCCTTGGACACTGGACTCTTCTCTTTCATCCTGTCACACGTCATTTCTGTTTCTTTCCTTTTAAAACGGCATCAAATTAAACTGCGTCCACGTGTGCGCAGCTTATTGCCACATAAGGGTTGTGAAATAGTAGCGGTAAATTCTTACTGCTGCACTGACATCATCCAGAAGTTTGTCTGCTAACGATCAGTGGCAGGCTGTCGTCACGGTTGACCGGCTGGTCTCAGAGCAGTTATATTCTTAGTACTTGCAACTTTCTTATTTATTTGTTGCCCCCAGGAAAGCTTTGCTCATCTGCTCCACCGTGATAGAAACGCTTCTCCATGCCACGACCAGCTGGCTGTTCTCTAACTGCGCCCTGACAGTCTGATATCCCCCCCAAAGCCAAGCGCAAGATAATCGCCCACCGTCGAGGACACCAAGCTACTTAGGCAGACTGAAGGCTTTGCAGTTCTAATCGCTCGTAGGCTGTTTAGCTCCGGCTTGGTGTGCTTTCTGTTCTTCCTGTGTGTACCTGGCTTTTCAGCTCTTGCATATGCTTTCAAAGACGAGTGCTGGATTACGTGGTGGGTGTGATACATATATTTATTTCCTACCTTTTTTTTTTGATGGTTTGAGTCTGAAAAGCATTTGCTTGAAGGCGTTTTGTTTCCCTTAAGCTCTGTCCTCTTCAAAGCATCGCGTGCTGCCAGCAGTCACAGGTACAGTCTGAAATCGTCCCTCACATCCGAGGAGACGCTCTGGGGAAGCGTCGTTATGTGGATGTGTTTGCTTACAGCGCCTGAAGCTCTGTGTGTTTGTATCCCAAACTGTTTTTCAGTCGTTTCCAGTTCTTGCTTTGTCTCAGTTTTATCCATTATAAAGAGGAAAATACAAACCTTTTTGATTTTGCAGGAAGTTGGTTGAAACCTTCATCTAAGTTGGGACTAATAGCCTGGGGGGGGTTCACGTCACTGAAGCCGCACTGACAGGATCCATGCTGGCGCTCTTATTTGTCTTATTTTCTTTGTCTCTGCATGAATTTGTGTATTGTGTAGTTGTCTTCACACTCATACCACTTACACCTCGTACACTTACTGCTAAGTCCCTTAAGTACTAATCATTGTAAAAACAGTGAGCTCATTTGTTGAAACAGGAGGGGGGAGAGAAGTGGTAATGGCAAAAGAAAGTTGATGGGGAGGGAGGGGGAAGTGTGAGATTTTTTTTCCCCCCCTCTTTCATTTGGTATGTGTTTCTCTGGAGTACAACAACCACCAATCAAAAGCGAAGCAACACCTGCTCCTAGACTGTGAAAATCGCACAAGTGCTGGAATGCACATCGTTAGGCCCCCGTAACCACTAACAGCAGGGAAAAGGCTGAATATTAAGGAACCTGTCTGATTCCTGCATCTCTCACTGACAGGAAGCAGAGGAGCTCAGAAGTGTTTCCCAGCTCTCTGCAGGCACCGGGGTCAAAGTCCAAACTGCTTCCCTGTAATGGTGCTCCCCAGCGAGCCGGGCCAGAAAGAAAGACCGCATACAGACTACCTTAATGGGCCCGAGTTACAGAAAAGATGGCGGCTTTCCCTCCAGCTAGGAATGTCACCTTTGTGACATGGTTATCATTCAGCCCGTTCACTGTGTTTCACATTACTGCCGCTTCCTCTGGGATGTTGCTGGGAACGTTTTTGCAGCCACCTTTGTTTTATCGTCCTCTTCTTTTGGCCGCTCCCTTCGGGGGTCACCACAGCGACTCCATCTCATCCTTCTCTGTCGCACCAACACTGCGTATCCTCTTTCACTACATGCGTGAGTTTTCTTCGTGGTCTTCCTCATTTCCCGTTGCCTGGCAGCTCCATGTTCAACACGTCCTGTGACAAACATTTAAATTCAACTTAAGGAACCTTAAGGAGTGTAGCCGGATTGACTTGATTTGAGAAGGTGAAGACATATTTAATTCAAGCATCTAGGTTATCGATGCTCTTTTAATATCTTGTCTGATTAAAGGAAGGAGTATTCCCTGTCTTCTCTCCGGGCTGGCATGGAATCGCTCCATGCCGGAGTGTGTGGGTGCACTGGCACTGGTTCAGTTCTCTAGTGGCTTGCTTGGCCAAATGCTTTTCTCTTTAATCCTAATTTGCTGCTCAGTATTTTTGTCATTCAGATTCACTGTGAAATATGCCAACTGTATGGCTTTTTTTAGTGAATTATGGAAACCTAATTGTGGCTCTCGCTTTGTATATGGCAGGCAAAGCACAATTCTCCTGATGCCTCCCTTTCCTGAGATGTTGTGAAACATTAGATAAAATTTAAGCCCTTTTTTTGTCCTCTCATAATGTCATTATATTGACTGCTGGACAGTTTTTGTGCCTCCTGCGATTTTTCACCACAAACTGCCTGTCATGTCTAAGCTGTTTCTGTTACTCCAGTCCCCTCTCAGGCCTCTGTGTTAATCTGATGGGGCCATCTCATTTCTGGGACACTGGTCCTATTTCCTAGTGGGAGTCTTAGTGAGATTTCCTTTTTGTCTCGGATCCTGTTGATTGATAGGAATGATCATTATGTTAAAGTAATGTTACTCATCCTTTGTCAGCTGAACAGGAAACGCAACAACGTAGCGCTAACCACCCTTTTAACCTTTGTGCGTGCATGTTTGTGGACGGAACATTTTCATGTAATATTAATGTAAAAGTCTTGCATTGTGTGTCTGCATGTCAAAGCTGGGTCTCATGTTCCTGCTTGCAGATGTGAAATTAAGTCTTGTTAGGAAATGAAGGAATTCTGTGCACTGACTCTCTGGAGTTTTAACTCGAGCCTGTAATGTGACGTTATGAATTTGTGTTGCATGTTGGAAGTTCCAGCTTCGTTCTATCGCGTTGAACTTTACGTTGGCCTGTAGTGGTATCTAATAATAATGTGTGTAATGTGTGTGGGGTTAGCTGAGGTGCGACACTGTGGGGTGCAGATGTACAGATGAGTTAAGACAGACCAGTGTGTGCACAGTCGTGATCCCCCTCATTAAACACAAATCGGTGCACTTGGAAGCTTGACGAATGTTTTTATTATTTTTTTCCTTTGCTAATCTACTGAATGAGTCATTGCTTATATTGTCAGAGTCAGGTAATAATGGGAGTTGGGAGCATGAGTGCACTAATCAGACAAAAGGACTCAGACGTGAAAGCCTGCTTCAAATCTTCTGCCATTAAGGTTAAAAAAAAAAAATCCCTGGTTCCTGTCCGAGGAATCGTAGTACATCTGCACGACGCTGCTTTAAACGGCTTCATGTTATATCACATGTTGAAATGCACGTTTGTGCTCCGCTATAGATTCTTTCACCTTCTGCATTTATCATTTAAACTCATGTTCACTGAGCTGGTGGTCGTTTGTCTGAACACAACTTTCTTTAATTATATCACAAAGGTACCAAGTCTAATAAATAAATACTGTAGTGATGTAAATGGGCTGGTTCTTATCCAGTCGTTAAGTCTGACGTCACTAGCCGTGTCTGGGCCTAAACTCCGCTGCAGGTCCATATATCAAACGATCACTATGGCATTACTGAGAGTTAAAAACTGTCTAAAGTCTTTCATCTTGTAATAAAATGATCAGCGTTCTGCTCTACCAGGTGTAACAATTGAGTTTAACATCCAGGCATCCATGAAAACGGAATTTATGACATTTAACGGAGTTAGAAGTTAGCAGGGAGTTAGCTCGCTAGCTTCTATCTAAATACAATATAGCATGTCCTGACTGCGGGGTTTTGGAAACAAATTCAAACGTACAGCTCTGCTATCACTTCCAGCATAAATGAAGACAGAAAACTAAACAGCAGTGACGTTTGTAGGGTTACTGAAGTTGGGCTAGCTGGTATATAATGATGTGCTACGTGACCGCTAGCGACACAGCTATGTTAGCATAATATAAACAAGCTAACTTTTTTTCCACTGGATAAAAGTTAACGTGAGTGTTCTCGGTGGTCAGGAACAAATGTAATCGCATGGCAGGATGCTGTAAAAGGACCAAACTTCAGCCAGGAGAACAACTGAGATAATCCATCCACAATACGAGGTTAGTCATTCATATACTGCTGCATGGGCTGGGCTGTAGTTACATCCTAAGGTTTTAAAAACTGAGCTTAAATAAATGATTAGCGGTAATAAAAGCCGAGGGAGGTCAACAGTGATCACTGACTGTTTTAGGAGCTTTTTGAGATTAAATAGAAGAAAATAAAAAAAGGATTCGTCACATTACCACTTAACGACCGGATATAGTGCTTTTCTACTCTGTTGAGCACTCAAAGGGCTTTACACAACTTGTACATTCAGCCAAGCACTTTTTTCTACTCTTATTAAAGTGCTTCCTAACTAACATCCACACTCCGATAGATGCAACATGGGGCTAGTATCTGCAGACTGGGATCGAACCACCAACCTTCCTGTTAGTAGCTCAGGTGGTAGACCTGCCACCCTGTGTCATGTGAGTCGGAGAGAAACCACGATTTAATGAAACGTCTTCACTGAGGAGTCCACGAATGTCTTCACGTGGCAGTACCATTAAGAATAGGATTCCCCAACTCGTTGGTGCAATTGACCTCGGCCCCAATGAAACTACCTGAACCCCCCAACACACCCAGTCCAGGTGAATGTCACTGATATTGACACCCACCCGGTCTGTTTGTCATTTCTTTCTAATGCCTCCTCTGCCAGCTTAATTTCATTTTCTGACTTGACTGAGTTCTGCCCACGTGGCGTGAGCGAGGCTGCATGGCATTGAAGGCAAAACAGCCTCAGGTCTAGCTCTCATGAAATAGGCGAACAAACGCTTAACAATCACTTTTCATGATTCCCATTAACAAGAATCACAGCTATGACAGTTTATGGCTGCTGAACCGCAGACACAATCTAAATCGGACCCTGGAGCAGGGATAACACAGCCTCCTTAGACATTTTTCCCATGGTGATAAGGGCTTGGCCAGATGTTCGTGATACTTACTCGCACTCTGCAAAGCAGGAGCCCTGGCGAGTGTGTGTGTGTGTGATGGCGGGTCTATATGGAGCACGTCTAGTAAGGCGTTTAGTGTGCCAAATTATGAATGAGCCTGCTGCCTCCTGATAATTTCTGACTTAAACTTCCAGGAAACTCCGTTCCACGGAGACACTGAAAGGCTTCCTACTTGATTTTGTCCGTCTTTGAAGTTGGGCCCTGTGAACGGGGAAAACGGCGTATTATAAGACACCACAGTGTTCTCTTTCATGTAGCGAGCTGAAGGGGATGCTATTGAGTGTTTGAGGGAGACCTTTGATATGTGAGATGCTCTGTGCCTTATGAAAAGAGCCAGCTTATGATTTGAGTCAGCGTGCATGTGAGTGCTTTGATGCCTGTTTTCTCGCCACACCAGTGTTTTTGTCAGAAACGTCCACCCTTGTTGATACACAATGTCCTGTTTGTGAGCTCGTTTCATAATGAGCGTCCCGACTGAACTTTGGAGGGCACGATTAGAACGAAGGCAGGAAAGATTTCGCCTGATTGCATGTTTCTTTTGTTAGCAGGGATATTTTTCTTGTCGAGTCGACGCCGGACATTTCTT